TAATTGCTGATTTGGTGAAGAAGTGTTTTGTTCCCAATTAATAATTATTGAAATAAAAGTTTAGAATGATCTTAATTATGTAAAGTTAATGTAAATGATATTGCTTTAGTAATAATTGAACATTGATGACTTTGAGGTTTAAAAAATATCGTTCCGTAACCAAAATGTTTTGGAAGTCAGTTTAAACTTCCTGATATGGTTCTAAAACACTCTGAAAGGGGCTTGTTGAATCAATTGTTAAGAAAGAAAATATAAGCCAAAGAATTATGTATTCAGAAATGTTAGAAGAGATAAACATTTTGAGCCTATAGTTTTAAAATACCTAGAATTGTTATTGCCAACGATATATCAACATTGTGAGAACTATATTGCATTATTTTACATATTCTTTAACATGTTAGATAATTCTGTATTCAAAGATATGATTCAATAAAAAAATAATCTTAATCAATCCAATCAAATGATCTCAGTTGATTGTAAATATTCCTTTTCAAGTCTGTACTGTTACAGATAACATTTCAGAACTTTAACCTCCCCTACCGAGCTATTGCATATCAAGTTTACATGATCACATAACTAGACTATACACAAAGTAAAGCTAAAGAGCGTTGTTCTCCAGAATATTTAATTGTTTTCCTTGCTATTGAAACACCACGCACCAATCAGTGTGTATCAATATCGTACCAGGAAGGCAACTAGGACGAGAAAATAATTGTGATTATGATTTTTTTTCTTTTTGCTTTAAATTTATAATCATGAGCATTAAATTTTGAATATGCCTGAAAATGATACATAAAAAACTATCAAAAAAAAAAAGAAATCGATATTCCATTATTTTTTATGTTAATAGTTAAAACGTCACTAAAGTTTATTTCCAATTAGTTTTTTAAAGAATAAAGTTTTAATTTAATAGAAAAAAAATATTTCTTTGTTTTCATGTTTCACTCATGCTTATGCTTGTCTAATTTAACTACAAAACCAAAATCATATATATAATGAAAGTTCTGAGGTTACTCATACTAAGGTTTACAGTCCAAAGACGGTATCAGGAAGCAAGGCATAAATTAGGACAACCAAAGATACAGACATACTGGAAAAGTAAACAAAGAGAAGACGAAGAAGTAAAGAGAGCCGATTCCTTAGTCATTTTTAATGTTGGCCTTATTGGTTGATATATACCCATATATATACATTTAAAGTTCTTTTCTTTGGGAAAAGGGACCCCACAACGTCACTATGACACTTAAAAATCACGTCTATACTACTAACTACTATAGTTTCTGGATGACAATCATAATATACGGACAGTAAACACTAAATTGATTTAAAAAAAAAAAAAAAGAAAACAGACAAAATCTTGAAAATAAAGAAATCAATAAAAACTAGAGTCATTAACATATTTGGTTACTGAAGACGTTTTCGGGACCTATGGATTCAAAATCCGTATTGCTTATAGAGATTCAATTTTTATTAATTAAGCAGCATGGAAATGAAGATGTTTAATCGTGCATATGTAGTGAGCACTCAGAGATGACCATTGAGGAAGAAAGCGGGGTTGGGGGGCAGTACGGTTTCCTCAAGTTTACACCTTATTTCTTAGTTTCATGTTGGTTGGTAAGGACAATTTTTGAATTTGTTGAACTATGAAAGATTAGGATAAGAAACAGTTGAATCAATTAAAATATTGGTTAACGTACCAATTAACAAATGACAGTTTGCAGACTTATTTTGGATTTACAATTTGTTTCTGTCTACGGCGTCAACCTAACAATCAAGGGTTGAAAACTGTATCCTGGAATTAAACATATGATACAATCAGGTTTCCTCTGTGTTAGGAGTTTATTGTTGGCGTTTCTCACCTATTAAAATCCGTTTGTGACGTCAGTCTTTTATTTCAGAGTTCTTTCGGGAATGGAGATTATCTGATCCCATGGAAAGCATCATGAACACATTTTTAATATTATGCACGAGTTTCCCCCTTCCATACCCCTTGGTACTAAGCTTGCTTTGACTTGGAAAATGGTATAAAGATATACTTTAATCAGAAGTATGGCAATGCTCAGTATCGAACCCTGTACCCTATTCATGTAAGTGGGGTACTCTCAACACCAAGCTGTCGAGACAGAAATCGAAAATGACTTCAAAGCACTCATTGTGCCGTTCTTTATCAGGACTACAAATTATCTAAATGTAGAGTTAGCTAATTAAAACATGATTATATTAATTATAAGCAAAAATAATTACCAACATTTAAGATAGTAGATTTGAAGTAGGTCTCTATCCATGTACCTTTCCATTTTCCATTCAATGCAGTAAACCTCGATTGGCTACATTACTTTTAATCAATGGAAAATAGTTAAAAATCAATAAAATTGTGCAATTTGGACAATGAAAAGATGAAGAAGGTGAACGAAAATCGACTCAATAAATTCGCATAGCAACGTAAATAAGGCAAAACATGGACCATCTGGAAACAAGGGAGATAAGATCATGTGCCGAAGTGGAGAAATCATCATCTCTCAACCTGACACACCCACTGTGAGCTCCCTGTGTTAATCAAATGTCTGCCATGGCTTTGTTAAGTGCCAATATTTATAAGTAAAACGAGCTGACAAATGAAAATTCTGTATGGTAACGTTTGACCAATAGCAGCAAAACACACTCCTCAACGTAATGCATTCTATGCAGAATGCAGGTTTTATATATAAAGCGGGATTTACATTCAATATAGCAATATGAATAACAAGATGTTGATCTCTTGGATGATTTAATAAACTCAAAGATAGCTTTTCATACTAATGAAACATTTTTTATCATATAAAACCGAAATCATAAAGTCCCTGATATAATGAAAAATATGTAAATATAAAATCCCTTCTACCTCTTTTTTTCATAAATTTCAGTAAAACATGGATATACAAAAAGACGTATTGCATTGATTTACATAATAAATACGATAAGAACAAATACAAAACTTAGGTGAATACAGAAAAACAAATATTAACAACCTTCATGACTCGATAAACCGTGACATTTATGGCGATGGTTAGCAAGCATTTGAGTAAATGTAAATGAGTATCAGTATAACTGAGTATATATATATTACGTTAAAGGATGTTAAATGCATTTCCCCATGCCTGAAATGTGCCATTTCCCTTATAGACACAGGAAACAAAAATGTTTAATGTACTGTACTGACAATATTATATACAGCAAATATTCAAGGGGGTTTAACTAACAATTTACTTGAATTAATCCTGCTAACAATTGCAATAAAACTTACATAAACTTAGTCATATCTGTATACTAATAATAAGTAAAATTTTATCCCCATGGCCGTAAGATAAAATGTGAAGATAACGAATAGCAATCAATCTCTTAAATCCAGTCAACAAAGGAATCATGACCAGAGTATAAACAAGCAGGATTAAAACACTCCAGCAAAGAAAACAATTAAACAACAACAACAACAAAATTAAATAAACAATGAATTGCAAAATAAAAATTTGTACAGATATGAAATACTATATAATTAAGAAATAGTCAACCGTTCTGTCAAGAAAATTTGCATACCTAGTTAAACAGGTAAAAGAAATTTCAATTTACAGTGTTTCAAGCTCCCGATGGGCTTTAAAAGATATTGGTGTAAAAGTTTGGTTAAAGAACACTTCTCCCAGAATACAAGGCTACTCTTACTTTTTTACACCAAAAAGTTTATCGAGGTTTTGAGTATGGTATATTCCAATGAGGTCAGAGGTTGGAGGTTCAGATCTCATTGAATGTTCAGATGGTGGTCTGGAATACATCATCGATGGGTCGTCAAAATGCAACAAGTCCTCTACTTGCAAGACATTCCTTGGATAAGCGTTCTTATTCACTGCGTTAATGTTTATCTCACCATGCCCTTGATGATTGGCTGAAGACGAATTCTGGCCTTTTCTGAAAAAAGTAAGTCATGAAAAACGATACAAGTATATTATATATAAACAAAGTGGGAGAAAATTAAATGCAAATAATTCTTTGACTTCTTTAGAGATCGCACTTTTCAGGGGAAACACAGACACTTGCTTTTTGTTTATTTTCGCCTTTATGATATATATGGTCAAGATGATTATAATCAATGCCACAGCAATTACAGCAGCAGCAAGACCCAGTGTTCTTCCTGATATTTCAGATGATGCATCTTTCAATAATGGGGGAGGTTGGATGTTTGAGGGTGATGTTGTCGATTCTGTTGTCGTGTCTATTACTGTTCCAGACATTGAAGATGTCTCTGATGCAGACACGGTGAATTGGGTTGAAATAGATGCCTGCGACGTATTTGTGGTTACTGTTTGGGTGACAACGGTTGTCGTCAATGTTGTATCAACTGTTGCGTTAGATGTCCCATTGCTACAATCTGAAAAGACGAGTAGAAGAATACAGGGTTTTAACAGTTTAACGAGGAGAATGTATGGATGAAATTTCTTTTGCATACTGATATTTTCATTAAAAATTATAATTTGTATCAAATGATCTCCTAGATTAACAAATTGGCATACCGTCTGTCCAGGCATATTTGTTATTCATTGGGACACATTTTGCACAGGATGTATTTGCCGCCAATGCATCCTCTAGAATGCATTTCCCATCGATAAAACAAAATCCATCCTAGCAATATAATAAAACTTTATAAAGAATATTCAAATGCAATATGTTCTAGATAATGGTTTATTGTATACTAGTATTCAGAACACTTACCTGCAGCGTAAAATATATATTATTTGTGTCGTTCTTGAAAATTTGACAAGCAGATTGATATACAAACACGTTGAAAGTGTTTGTAAATGTTGTTCTGTCATTGGACATATTGAACACAAACTGTGTCACCCATGTATCGTTTGTTTTATAAATCAGGCTACAAAATCCTTCATAAAGAGTCCTTTCTTCAAGCACTGATTCATAAAAGTGCTGGGTCATGATAGTATTGGTGACTGAAATCTTAAAAAAATAGAAAGTTTTTACTTGTTTTCTTTTTTCCTTAATCTTATAAAGATGTACATCAGGACGTATTTCATTTGAATTACATTTGTAAATACCTCTTTTCTAGTCATGAAGCAAGTTGTATTCATATTTTCAACAAAAAAATGACCGAACATTGTTACGTCATCGCATGTATCCCCTGAAAGGTCACAAAGACCATTTCCAAGTAAACTGGCTACTCTTGGGGGAGAAGTTATATCAAACGAACAGTCACTTCCGCCAAATCCAGCATTGCATGTACAGTTTCCTAAATTTGGGAAATTATGATTTTACTGACTTTTCTGTAGGCAATCTCTAAAACAATTATCGCGTTTTTGATGACAAAATCCGATTTATTCAAGTATAAAATAATTTATAATATCATTAACTTAAAATGTTTTACATAGGTTTCCCAGATATACATTTTAAATTATTAAGTTTAGTGATATGATCATCACCATTGTTTTTCTTCATTAAAACTTTTAATATATATATATATATATATATATATATATATATATATATATATATATATATATATATATATATATATATATATATATATATATATATATATATATGCATGTACCTCCTGAACATTCTCCATGTTTGCTGCAGTTGCTAGGACAAACATTCAATATTTCGTATGTAATCGATGGTTTTTCCTTTTGAAGAGTGCTGTTGAGGTTTATGAGAGTCTGACATTCAGATATAGCGCTCTCCAGATGGAATGAGGTCAGATTTGGATTTCCCGTAAGCTACAAATTTCGGAGGCATACATTACATAATACATGTATCAGATGAATGTAAATGAGAAGTAAAATTTTAAATGAAGTTTGAAGATAACAATGCATGGACCAGAAAGTGTCAAAACAAACGGATACTCACAGACACATCTGCGATACAGTTTTGAATAGAATCATTGGAGAAATCAGCTACATGTTCTATACACGTTTGAAATGGGATTGAATTATCAAATTCTGCGTTACAAATAACAATCACTTCTTCATCTGTGTATGCAGCCTGCCTTCTTACTCTCTAAAATCATTACAATTCATGGGTCATATGGTTGATATATATATATATATATATATATATATATATATATATATATATATATATATATATATATATATATATATATATATATGTGTGTGTGTGTGTGTGTGTGTGTGTGTGTGTGTGTGTGTGATAACTTTGTGTTAAAAGTATTGTCGATGACTTGATGAGGTATTTATATTACTATGAAATTAGCTTCTCTGTTTTCAAAATGTTTCAATACAATTTCTTCAGAACGCGTAAAATGGGCATACCAGGGGAGTTGATGCCTCCACCGGGTCCGGATTAAAGGATGCCATGTATTCAGCGTGTCTCTTTCGCCTACTGCTACTACTGTGAAGCAGACACTGGTATTCTTTTCCACGGGTTGTTGTTCCACAGTCCGTGTAGCTACGGTAACTGCACTCTGTCTTCTTTTCTTCGTTACACGTGCAAAGTTGAGTTTTTATAAGCGATAGAGAATTCAGAGTCTGAAAATCCATCAAAGCAGAGAGAAGGTCCTCACTGGCCGATACTCTGAAATTTATTTCACAATCCAATGCAACTATTTTGTACTATACATTTGGATTGGCTAGTGTTTAAGGCACAAAAACACAACATTTCCTTACGTATTTCATATCATAAAACCTAAAATAATAAGACGTAAATATCAAAATGCATCAATTACATTAAAATGGGAATAGTTACCTTCTCATTTTTTATTTGCGACCGTTAATGCTGATTTAATGGTTTAATCTGTTTTGCTGGCCCTGATTATGCGTCGCCGATAAAACTCAGTTTGCGACCGTTAAATCAGCAGTAAATCTCGCATATAACAAATGAAAAGATAGTTACTCCGTAATTGAAAACAATATTCAATTTATAATATTTAGTATACAATGCAATAAAATACAATATTCACTTCAATTATCTTTTTACATTTTTATCATAAACTTAGTAATAAAAACTGTGCTGTGTGATACGAGTGCATTGTGCGATACGAGTGACGTCACAATGCCCATATCAACGACCGGTCCGAAAACATATCACGTATAAGATCAGCGTGCGAAATGCATATCAAACCGGAAGCAACTTTTTTGAAAATAAAGTTTAAAAAGTTTTATTAACTTGATTTATTGAAATTAATATGTAATACAAATTCAGGTCCGAAAATTTGCATGCTGAATTTGTTCTAAAATAGGCTTTATTAGAGATTTAAGAAAAAGTATTATATACATGCACGAAAATGCTAAAATGACTTTATGTGAACGCCCATTCTAAGTATTTAAATATATCATATCAACTCTAGGGCCCTATATCGGTCTAATATGAGGCCACTGGGGCTGATGTATATGATATATGGTATGGATTTGAGTATGGTGTATTCTCTATAAATCAAATGACACAAGAATGGCAAAATTCACCTCCATGAAATGGAAAAGTCATTCGGTGGATTATAATAGCTAAAACTGTTTGGGTTTTCTGTAGTTCCATCTCTTCTTGTCAGGTCGTTCTGGATACCACCTCCTAAAACACCACAAAGGCCTGAACTTTTTCCAACATCCGCCACGGAAGGATAAACTTGTGTTTGTAAAATCCAGTCACTATACATATATAAGGTAGTTGTAACATATGTTCCAGTGGGAAAAAATATCTGTAGATTAAAAAAAATGATTTTAGTCATGGCTTTGCCAGAATCAATTGTCTTTTCTGATGTTATGAAATAACCTAAATAATTCACCTTTGGACTCCTTCCAAACCAACCCGACAAAATACAGGGAGATTCATAATTTCCAATTCATTTTTTTTCTTTTTTTTAATATTCATATAGCATATAATTATCATTGGGAAATCATTCTGAGAGCAATTTCTAGAATACAGAAACCCCTGGATGTCTAAAATAAGGTGGACGGGAATTGTCCTTTTAATAAGCAGTTGTCCCAGTTATAAAAAAAAAATATTCTTATACATATTACCACTGATACTAACTTTATAAGACTTATCTGTAACCTTGACAACCTTCAACGATTTATCATGACAGACTGGAAAGTTGATATAATGTCTGTTATTGCAAGCATCGAAGATGAAAACGTCTTTTCCAGATCTCACAGCTAAGGAGCAGATGCAGCGTGCATTAGGCCAGAAACATTTGTGGTGTCTGACTTGCACCTAAATAAAATGAAGATATCAATTGATATTGCAGGCCTGCATGACATTTGTAGAAATCACATGTCTGTCTACGTTTATGTTCCTTTATTTTATTTACCTCCTGATCATGTTCTTTATTCTGATATAAAACACTGGTGATCCCTGTCTTGCATCCTACGTGCTGGCATTCATAATTACTAAAAACAGATTTTGAGTTTATATTATTAATCATTCATAATTAATTGAGTATCAGATTTGTCTAGAATATTTTTAAATGCGTTTCAGTGGTTGCTTATTGATATCAGTCCGTGTTCAACAGAAAATAATGCATTAAGTTAATGCCTTATTTTCTGTTGAAGACGTACTGAAATGATCGAACCTCGTTTCCAAAAATGGCACAGAATCGAAGAAAAAAAACCCCAGAGCAATTACAAATCATTTAGTGATTGAAGCTTTACTGGTGGAATATAGCTAAACATATTTTAGATGTGGATTCTTTATTAAATTATGCGTACATCAAATATTGCTAGTACTTAAATTCAATTTTTGCAGTGCAATATTATTTTTGAATAGAATTAACATCAAGTTACAGTTTGGGATCCTAGGTTGTTGAAACATGAGTTTGTTTTGCATTAAAACATACTTTTGGATTGTCGTTGTTGTATATTCCGATATCAATAATTATTTTTGAATCAATACCTTTTTGTGGATTATGATTATTTTAATGATAGTTTATGCATGAAGTCATACATTATATCATTCATATTTCATATCTTAATTACTTGATTAAAAGTATCGACCTACAGTCTACATGTATTCTTTCCTTGATGGGGTTCTAATCTTTGTGTTTATTTTTATTACTGAGAACAACATTTTTAAAGTTTTAAAATCAAATAAAGTTTGAACATTTAATATATTGTCTGCTTTATCACAGTTATTGTATTCTTCTTGGTTGGTGCCAACTCACTATCCATCAAATGTTTTCATGTGAGGATCTGCATGCGAGTAACAATATTTTCCCTTCCACACTGTCTGGTTGTCAATTATATTTATCTATAACGACATAACAAAAGACAAAATAAAACAATTATGCAATTTATATTAAACTTCCAACGTTAACAAACGTAATTTTCTATAAGTTTAATGTTTGCAAACATGTGAATATTGCAGGAACATAAAGAAATTATTGAATAAGAATTTATATCAAACGCCTCATGAATCAGCTGATGGCACTTTACTTCAAATTTGCAGAGGACAAGATAGGCTAAGACCCCTTTTTGGCCCCTGGTTTGGGGTGTCTTTTAGAATGTTGAGATAGTTTATCAATTAAAAACCTGATGTCACCTCTGCCACGAAATGAGTATTGGTTCTAAGTTATGGGATACACAGAGGTCACAGAAAGGTCAGAAAATATGTCAATTTCCGAATTTTCTCATTTTTATGCAAATTTTCCTCGACTTAACAGCAGATTTTGGTTCAGAAAACATAGAGCACAAGCTTGCCTATCTACCAAATTTATATATTTCATACACTAGTATCAGAAGCATCTTATATATAAAATTTTAAGATAGGCAAGCTTGTGCTCTATGTTTCTTGAAGTGAAAAGTGTCTCAAATTTGACGGAATTCGACTAGAATTGAGGAAATTCGGGAAAATGTCCTACTTTTGCACCCTCTTGTGCCCTCCTTGTAAACGTTGAATCAAAATTAGTGCTGGTTTTAAAACAAGCATCATCTAAAGTTCTCAACTGCAAACTATCACAATTTCAACTGTGTTCTGATTTTTACATCTAATAAGGGGCCAGATTCGGCCGTTACCATACCTTGTCCTTTGCAGCTTAAGAGTTCCTTTTCCTTAATTTAAGATAGAAATGTCACCTACTCTTACTTTTGAAAAGCTGAAATTTGCGAACAGTCAACATTATTTTTAGAGATATTCTAGAAAGGTAAAAATATAATTCCTTACCGGGACGTCAGGGAGCATCACTCCCTCATATACTTTCGCTGCCTTCTCCCCGCCTCCTTTTGTGTTTAGACGTAATAATAGACTGTTATCAATTACATAACCTATATTATCTCTATTGTATATAGTCATCGTATACTCTTTGTACCACTGACTTCGATCGTTGTATTTGTGTTTTTCGCTGTACTTGAAGCTTGGGATCTTTATTTCACAGTGATTCGAACTACCAGCCGTTGTACACGCAGCTTTTATATTTGTTGGGAAATCCAAGGAAATGGACAGTGGACCAATATCCTCTAAGTTGAATGCTGGTAATTCTAAAGTTTGTCTTGCATAAGGAATTGTAGGTCTGATTTTAAGCGTGGTTTCTCCCTTTCTTGACATATTCAGGATTGGTGTCAATACCTACAAAATAGACTGGTGGCATTATTATTTTTTCTAGAAATGAACAATATATTTCTATGAAAGAAAATAAGAAATGCTCAGAAGGGTAGTATTCTCATTCTTTTTCACCTCAATTCCTGCGAAAAATGGGGAACTGGATGTGCTGTTACATGGAGAATCCACGACTGATTTTTTGGCACCAACCACACAGTGTATCTGCATATTTTAATCAATTTTTTATTCGAATCATCTTTGAAGGCAAAGAGGCAAACAAAGTCTATTTTTGTTCGTAATCTACATATTTCATTTCTATTCAAATAGCTGATAGTTTCATACCGAACACCCGATCTTCTTCCCCGCATTATGCAGATCCTCTGTTGTTAGTATAGCTTTTCCAAGAGTTGAAGTGTCCACAGTCTGATTCTCTATTATCCTTGTATTATCCACATACCAATCGATATGATAAAACAAAGTGTTACCTGAGAGGGGTGTGAATTGACAGCGTAGCTCAATAACCGGATCCCATTGTGTACCTCTCGCTTTTGTTTCATTAGTGTACGAAACTCCTTGATATACGACTTGAAGGTTAGTTGGCGTGTCTGGTACACCTGTAAGTTTACAATACTTCTTAATACACCTGTCCTGTCTTATGGAAGGTCGTATTATATTGTAAGCTTTCCCGTATGTTCTTATTTGTTTGCACAACATGAGACTCAAGTCCATAGACAAAGTCAGTTGATACAGATTGAGAGGGATCAAGAATATATAACTTCTATTCCAGGTTTATGGTTATGCATATTCAAATCGTGTCTGGATAAAAAAGATCTACATTAATCAGCCTTTTCAGTTGGTGTAGTGTATATTTCCAAATTTTCCAGGCACCTTATTTTCTTTTGATATTTGTAGGCGCGATAAAAATTTCACGAGTTTTGGTTGTTCTTGTTCTTAATCTTAAATAATACAAATTTCCGCAAGATTGAAGTTTTGTAAGTAGACGTACGATCACTCGCAATTATTCAAAACTAAAATCATCGCAAATAAAC